ATGAAAATCACAGCACTTAGGATGATAGTTACTGCAGGTGGGGAAGGTTATGTGTAGATTAGGGTCAAGGTCTGAGATTTAGTTCTGAGTGGCCAGTTCTGAATACTTATTACCTTGCTAAACATAAGTGATTAAAGAACTAACTAAACCTATAAAAGGAGACCATGAAAGAATCAATATGAAAGAGTGCATGAACTAGGATTTGAATCCATCCAGTTCTGTTCATCAGAAGTCCCATTGGTTCCTTTTTCTGCCTGAGTAGGTAAGTCCTGCTTGTCTTCCTTTTCAAAGGTGACTAGATGTGTGGCGGACAGTGGAGGTCGGGAAGAGGACTTTGAATCTTGATTATTTGAGGTACTGCTTAAGGTAGCTTGCAGACATGAAGTCTGTATCCATGAGCACATTCATGTTCTATTTTGGTTTAACTCACTTCACTTTGCCTCATTCCTGCGTGAATTCTGGGTTCAGAGCCACAGCTTGGTAGAAGAGTCTGCAAAATGATTGCATCCTACACAGGAGAGACACACCCATTACAGCCAAATGTACTGTGGGGGCTCCAATTCCATGCCTCGTGCAGCAAATTTTATTTCTGGCAGGAGAGGTTCCAGAGCAAGGGGGAAGCGATGGGGGAAGAAAGAAGTGAGAGAGAGAGAAAAAGGTGAAAAAGAAGGATAGAAAAAGAAAGGGTGGGGAGAAAGGTTGTTCATGGTCATTATGCTATATACTTTTCCCAATGCAAGAAATAATAAACTGATTGATTTGAAGGACTGTTCCATTTTAAGCATGTGTTCTGACTTGGGTTTTGGGTTTCAGTACAATTGAGCCAGGTTGAATTGCTTGATTTAATTAACTTTCATGTATTAAGCAAGGATGTGGGGGCAGAGTGTGATGCATCAAGACACAACTCCTGTTGAAAAGTTCATATCCGCTCTCTGGGCCTCAGTTTCTGCATCTGCAAAAACAAGGTGGTTGGACTAGAAGAAGGCTAAGGTCTGTTTCAGATGTAACCTTTTACGATTTTAAGTGACTTGAACAGACTAACAAGAGCACAGAAATTGGTATTTCACAGGGATTTAAGAGAACAATAAATTTGGTCTCTGACTTCCCAGATAAACGTTCAGTTTCTACACATGCAGCTCCTTAGGTCTTGAGTTCTCATGTATGTCCACATTTTCTTATGACTTCACACCTTAAAAGAAAATGAAGGTGGCACAGTCTGGGTGACTCACTTGTTGGACCACCGTCCCATACACCAAGAGGCTGGGGGTTCAATGGCCGGTTGGGCATGTATGGGAGGCAGCTGATCTCTCTCTCTCTCTCTCTCTCTCTCTCTCTCTCTCTCTCTCTCTCTCTCTCTTGCTTCCTCTTTCTTTCCCTCCCCCATCTCTCTCCCTAACTCTTTCTCTAAAAGTCAATTAAAAAAACGTAGCCTCAGGTGAGGATTTAGAAAGAAAGAAAATGAGGGTGGCAAAATCTTCTCCACAAAACCCCATTTTAAAGAGAGCAAAACTTTTCTTGACTAAGGAAGAGTTCTCTGAATGGGAATAGTCACTGAGTCAGCCTCAGATCTTACACACTGTATTCAGTAACACAAGTCACAGGTAGAAAATATCTGTGGTTTAAAGAACCACAGGATACAGAGAGCCAGCCCTGAGACTCACACTCACACTCACACACTCACTCACTTATAATTGAAGGAAGAATCTTTTTTCAGTCCATGCATTCTGATTTGGGGCCCAGAGTTATGGCTCTTCTACCTAGGAGGAGCAAAGGGATATGTGATGAGGCATTAGGGGCTGAGACCAAGTCCCTTGGTACCCAGGGCAAAGTGATGCTGAGATAGGAGGGGCAGATTTACCCTCTAGCACTTGGGGGTCATGGAATACAAAGTGGAGAAAACTAACTGCACTCAGGATTAATATTTCACAGGAAGTGAATAGAAAACCCAGGGTCCAACCCAAATATAAATTGTACTTAAAACACGATAAAGATCAAATCAATAGGGAAAAACCACATTATTTATATATAGTGCTGTTATAACAGTTTACTCATTTGAAAAACTTCAAATTGAACCCTTAGCTCACATTATACACTTAAATACATTCCAGATGGACTAAAAATTAAATATAAAACTTAAACTACCAATTAGATAGAAACAAATGTCTATGATTTTGTACTGAGAAGCCTTTTCCGAGGCAGAAACTATGAGGAAATAGGTGAATACATATTTTACATTTTTATATTTCTGTACATCCTAAAACTATAAACAAAGTTAAAGCCACAGGGCAAACTAGAAAACATATTGACAAAATATATAATAGATTTAAAAAATCAATATCTCCCTTATAGCAAGAGATTTTATTAGTCAATTCAGAAAAGTCACACCCCCCCCCCCCTAAAAATATTAGCATAGGCAATGAGCAAGAAAGCACTACGGAAGAGCCTCGGGGATAATTAAAATATAAATAAAATTAATTAAATTAAAACAACAAGATACTAGTTTGCCCATAAAGTCCAAGAGTTAAAAGACTGGCTCTGACCTTAGCTCCTAGGAAAGCCATCCCAGCTTTCTGAGCCTCAGTTTTGCCATCTCTATCCTATATCACAGAGATGAGAATGGCCTCACTCACAGAGGTAGTGTGAGAATTAGATGAGATAAAACATTTTAAAGAACTTCATAAATTCAAAAATATACCCCAGCTATATACAAGTGTAATCATGGGTCCTATAAGCCAAGTTGACCTGTGCTATGCCTCAAAGAACAAAAAGAAGATGAGTCAGTGGATAGACTTGCTCCCTTGATACTGAGATACTGCATTACTCAAAGACTCTGACAGAGCTGCATGGCATTGTAGCTTCAGTGAGCTAGACTTTAGGGACAGTCTCACAAGGACTGAGACACCTGAACGTTGTTAGAGGAGCAGCAGACACCAAGAGGGCCCTAACGATGACGTCAGCAGGACTGGGTACCTGAAGCCACCATTCACTGGCAGCAGCTATCACAAGAGGAACTGATAAAAGCCACTTCCAATAACGGAGAATACCCCAAAGGAGCCCCTGCTGAGATTCCTCCCTGGGATGGTAGTCTAGTCAAGGCAAGGAACCCCTAGGAGCTACTTCAGTGAGCAGGAATTACCCTCAGCACTACCGTGGAGAGTCACCGTTCAGAGGTGGTGATGGGGAGGTCCAAGGGGAGGTAGAGATCACCGGTCTTTTATGTAGTGATTAAAGCATGTGGGCATCAGAACCGGACTCTCTGGGTTCACATCCTGAGTCCACCTATTGTGTGACCTCGAGGAAGGTCTCTGTGTCTCAATTTTCTCATTTGTTAAAAGTAGATATTAATTACATCTAACTCATATGGTTATTGTGGGAATTATATGAGTTAATATACGTAAAGCATTTAAAGATTCCTGGAACATAATAAATGCCTAATTTATGTTAAGTATTATTATTGTTGCTGTAATTATTAGTAATACTACTACTGCCATTACCATAGTTCTTTAAAAAGAGAATAACAGCCCGGCCAGAGTGGCTTGGTTGGTTGAGCATTGTCCCATGCACTGAAAGGTTGACAGTTCGATTCTCAGTCAGGGCATATACCTGGGTTGCAGTTTGATCCCCAATCAGGGAACATACAAAAAGCAACTAACTGATCGATGTTTCTCTCTCACATTGATGTCTCTCTCTCTCCTTCTGTCTCCCTCTCTCTCGCTCCCTTCCTCTCTCTCTAAGGATGTCCTCAGGTGAGGATTGAACAGAGAGAGAGAGAGAGAGAGAGAGAGAGAGAGAGAGAATAACAGCTTCTCACTAGGAAACCTGGTGTCATTGGGTAGGTCTGCATGAAAGCCCTGGAAGTCCTCTAACTTTCCAAAGGAAAGAGGGTCTCAAGAGAGAGTTTCAATCATAACAGTTGGTTAGTCCCCTTGTTACCCAGAAAAGTAGTCCTCTATCATTTGGCTCCATCTTTTCTTCCCCAGGGAAAGGAAGGAAGTAAAAGCCTTCAGTACATATTACGACAACTTACAGCATTCTCACTGAGGCAGCTCCCTCTCTACATCACCCCTCTCCCATACCCAGTGACCCCTCCCAGGTTCATAGCCTCAAATCCATGCTTTAAACAAGCACCCCTGGGAAGAAGGTCATCATTGTGTGCTGTAAGGAGACAGGCCAATTATAACTTCTCGCTCCTGATATTCAACAGTAATGCAAATAGCTCCATCATGAATCCTTCCTAGAGAACATTCTATGATGTTTTGAAACTTCCAATATGGTGGGAGCTGATTAAAAAATGAGTAAGAGCAGATCAAACCTCCTCTGCCTGTCCTTTCTGGGTCAAATTGTGTTTTGTGCCCCAGTGTTAATGGTCCTCTAAGAAAAACCATTTCCTTATGTAATTTGAAAAAAAAAAAAATATATGAGAAATGTTGAAATTCAGCATTTGGGTGACCATGACCAGCGAGTGACATGTGCAGAGTGGGCCTGCATTCAGGAATGTCTGACCCCCACGACCCCAAGATTGGTGCCATTTGCCAATCATAACTGCCATTCTGAAGAATGCACAGTGACCAATGTCTCTCTCTAAGGTGTTCAATTGGAGTAATAATTAATTTTTCATGTCATAAGAGAGAGTGTGGGTTTGTTTTGATGAATAGCTCTTGGTATGGAAAGAGTAGAGGCTCATGAGATGCTGTGGATCATGCCCTGGCTGTCAGACACATAAGGTACTGTCACCTCTACTCTAGAAATCAAATAACCAAGGTTTCAAGAGGTTAAGTGACTTGCCCAAGATCACTCAGCCATTATTAGTGGGAGAGAACAAAGGAGAAAAGAAAAAAATGATTTGCCTTATGTACCGTCCATACTTTTTCTCCAGAGAACAAGGGGCCACAGCCATCAATGGCTATGGAATATACATCAAATTATACTTCAACTATAATCTTTTTAAAAAGGAAGCCAGGGGGAAGGACAGGAGAAAGACATGATGCCCAGATACTCACAATGGACAAAACAATCCAAATCCTTGCTGTTGAATAAGCAGGATAGCCACAAGGTGACTGTTGTCAGCCTGCGTTGTCAGAGCTGGGTTGCAAGGAGAGCGTCTCAATGAAAGGTGATAATGCAATCCAGCATGGTTGTCTTCACTGAGGAGCAACTTGACTCTCCTGTTCTGCTTCATCCCAGCTATTCTGTTGGAGCAAAAGGAACATTGTTACTTCTAAGGTTACTGGGTGTTATTGGGGGATGCTGAAAACATCATTTCCCTGTGTAGTAGAAAGGGCAAACTTTGAAGTAATGTATGATATTGATTTGGCCAGCAAACAGTGTGAAAACATATTTTCTTATCTATAGAATAGAAATGACAATGATAGTAGTAATTTTGGAGGGCTGTTGCAAGAACTAAATAAGATAGTGTTTATAAGCACTCAGCATTGCATCTATCACATGGTTCTTCCTTTAAAAAGGTGAATCCCTTGCTTCTTTTGGGGAAATAGAAGTAGGAACAAAAACTGGCACCATACTCTGCTGACATTTTCCTCTTCCTCTTTTTTCGGCTTTGAACTTAAAGTAGAGGCCTGGGCATAATAATTTCTACTCTTCTTTCCCCCTTTATCTCTTGAATTGTGAAATGTCAGGAAGAGCAACAAAATACTTTTTCAATTCACTAGCCTTTTGGGCCTGTTAAGACCTATGATCAGATCAAGACAGTTTCACCCAACGACTTGTTACGTAGCCTCAGAGTGATATATATCTGAGGAATGGAACACTATTACTGTAGATTCAATCTGGACATTGTATATAATGCATTCACAAGCCAAGAGTTTACATCATTGTGTTAATGTGACTAAGCCCAAGATAAAGACAACTGAGGAGCTTACTAGAGCAGGAATAAAATTGGAGTGTCCTATTTAATGTCAGCACCTTTGAGGTACTAGGGCTGAGGATAGCCTGTTGATATTTACAGAGTGCACATATTTTAGGGGGCACATCACTCTCTGCATAGTATGACTTGAACAGCATCTGATTTGGGTTGTTTTATTTTTTTATTTTTTTATTTTTATTTTTTTATCCTCACCTTAGGACATTTTTCCATTTTTTGTTCAGGTAGAGTAGGAGAGAGAGAGAGAGGAACAGAGAGAGAGAAATATCGATGTGAAGGGACACATCGAGTGGTTGCCACCCGCACAACTGACCAGGGCTGGGGACAAACTGCAACCGAGGTACGTGCCCTTAGTGGGAACCGAACCCGGGTCTCTCAGGACCACAGGCCGACGCTCTAACCACTGAGCCAAACCGGCCAGGGCTGATTTGGGTTGTTTTAGATGAAGAGGATCAACAAATCAGCTCTTGAGGGAGTCATAGAAGAAAACAGCATTTGTATTATCAGAAGGGAGGGAGGAGTGGGGCTAGATTAGTTAAAAGCCTACCAACCAAGAGGAAGGGTACCTATGCCAATCCTACAAAGACTTGGTTGGACTAGGGAGCTCAGAAGTAGGAGCTATTTCAATGAGAGAGGAAGAAAAAAAGAACCCAGGGTTCCCCACAAAGGGAAAACTCAGCAGAATATGGTATTTGTATTATTTGGTTTTCTTAGTTGAAAACAACAAATTTCGGCTGAGTTTTACTCAAAAAATGAATTTCTTGAAGAGGTATTTAATCACTTCAGAAAATCATAGAAGATGGATAACCAGGAATCTAAGAAGGCTAGGACCAGAGCCAAAACCATGACACAGACATTTCCTGGTGAGGATGGTGTATTAGTTTGCGAAGGCTGGTGGAAGGCTTAATCAAAAGAAATGTATTGTCTCACAATTCTAGAGGCTAGAAGGCCAAGATCAAGGTATCTGCAGGGTTGGTTCCTTCCAAGGGCTGTGAGGGAAGTGTCTGCTTCAGGCTTCTCTCTTTGGTTTACAGATGGCCATCTTCATGTTCACATGGTCTTCTCCCTGTCCATCTCTTCATATTGCCTTCCTTCTATGAATGTCTCTGTGTTTAAATTTCATTTTTTTTATAAGTACATCAGTCATTGAATTAGTGCCCACTCTAATGACCTTCTAACTTGATTACCTCTGCAAAGATCCTATCTCCATACAAGGTCACATTCTGAGACACTTGGAGTTAGGTATTTAGCACAAGAACTTGGGCAGACACAACTCAACCCATAACAGATAGACCCACTGGATATTATTTATAGGACATGTGCTGGTGCTATTACCCCTGCTACCTTGGTCACTGAGGGAGGATGTGCCACTGTCCCAGGTGGGAGCACCTGATTGGCTGGGCTTGGTCACATGCACACACCACCCCTGCCAGTGAGCAGGAAGAAAGCTAGAATCAGGCCGCCTCCATTTCTTGAGTGGGAGGCAGGTTTTTCCTTCTACCAAGACCCATTTTGTGAGAGTACCCCAAATGGAGGAAGGAAGTTCAGTGGCTGAGCAATTAAAAATTTGACAAGAAGTCACATTAGCATTTTTTAAACCAACCAGTGTCTTCAAGTAGGCATATTAGTCTTTGGAAAGAAGCTGATACATTTCAATAGAGGGTCTGGAACCAAGCCAGGCGAAGAAGGAACTCTAAAGATTGATAGCAAAACTTATAAACTGTAGTTCAAATCTCTCTCTCATTCACATTAAGAGGGGTGGTATAATGTGGTGCCTTTCTCTCCAAAAAGATTAATTTCTGCCTCCACAATCCAAAATGGGAGACTCAAGCACCCAGGGACACATGTCCCTTGTCCTCGCCAACACTGCCACCACAATCGTCTGTGATGAGAAGTGGGAGCAGAGTTTGCTTTGGGTTACAAGAGAGGCAAAACTGGGCAAATGCTGCCAGAGCCGTTGGTCAGAATCACTGCTGAGTGATAGACATCTGTATTGGGGGGGGTCCCTCCGAAGATGTATAGAGAGAAGAGTGTTGGGAAGAAAGGCATTTCCTTTGTCTTCCCACGGGAATACATAAGGGGTGAAAGGAACGAGAGCCTGAGAATAAGTAGATACTGCCATGGCCCAGTTCTTGGCTCTATACCTGTCATCACCATGCCTTATGTGGGTGATGCCTTCTGCAGGGCTCTCTTGCCCACCTACAGTTTCATTATTTATTGAGCACCTATTGGGCCAGATACTATACCAGGAGCTGGAGATGAAAGACTTTGTCCCTGCTCTCAGAGATCCCGGCATAGTTGGGGAGACTGACATGCTCATAAAGAGCTACAAAGTAATATTTTTAAGGCCTGTATCAGTATGTGGAATTGTATATATTTCATGTATTGATTTATTCACACTCTCTGTCCTCTACTACTGTAAAGTGATGGCCTTTATTACATTCACTGCTTTGTGTACAGCACGCCAACACCTAGAGTTTAGGGAATGTTAGCGATTCAATACATATTTATGAATAATTTCTATACTGGAAACATATCAGAAAGAGTGCTCAAATCTGTGGGGGTGGGGGTGAGTTAAGGGAAGGCTTCCCAAAGGAGGAGGTTCTATATAATGATGATTCAATGCATTGTGGTAGATTATAGTATTATTGGCTATGGGTTTTTCATATCTCTCTGTATTTGTGCTCTTTGGCAGTGGGCTTGGCCAGGTGACTTGTTTGCACAATGGGATAGTAGCAAACTCTATGCAAGCAGAAACCTGAAATGTGGTTTCTGATTTCTCTCTTGGAACTCTGTCACCACCAGAAACACAAGCCTGTTGGGAGGCAGGAGACCACATGAAACAGAGATGAGTTATTTCAGCTGAAGGCCATCCTAGACCAGCAGATACATACATGAGCCCAGGCCAGATCAGCAAAGCGGGCCAGCTAATCCACAGAGAAATAATAAATAATAGATGGATGTGCTAAGCCAATGAGTTTTGAGGTGGTTTGTTACACAATGTTATTGTGGTAGTAGGTAACGGAACGCTCACCATCTCACTCACCAGCAGCCTGTGAGATAATAATTTTTTAATTGCCACTTCAACTCTAAGAAAACTGAGGCTCAGAAACAAATAAATAGAAGGAAAATAGAACTTCAACTAAGTCCTTGAAGTTCAAATCAAGAACTCCTTTCTTCGTACCTTTATGTTTAGAAACATGACTCTGATCTATCATGGGAGCCTATGAGTTAATTATATGGAGGAGGGAGAGAGACAAGGAAGAAGGAAGAGAAGGAGAAAAAGCAGGCAGACGGGAGGAATATGTTTGACCCTCAAGGCAATGCTTGCTCCACTAATTTAGCCACACAGGTGGTGCTTAGGGAATTCTAGGCGATGTTTAATATAAACCACAGGCTAACTTAAGAGGTAAATTAAAGAGAACTTTTTTAAGGGTGAAAAAAAAGAAAAAAGGTGGACAAGAAAGGACAGAGAAAAGAATGTATATATTTCCGTGACACAGATGAAATCATTCATCCTACTTTTGACTGGGTGATCAGGGAAGGACTCTGAGAAGGTGGCAATATGAGATTTTAATAACAAGAAAGAACCAGCCATGCGAGGATCAGGAAGAACAGCATTCCTGGGCAGGAGAACAGCTGTGGCAAGGAAACTGAGGCTAAAACAAGCTTGGCAAGTTCAAGGTCTCAAAGGAGGGCTAGGATAGCTTGAGTGAAGGGGGCCCAGGAGGGGGCAGATGACTAGATTCTCAAGATGACTAGAAAGTGAGCTGTGGGGCAAGAGATTATAGGCAGGCTAACACCAAAGCAGGGAAACCAGCTAAGGGGTTATTGCAGTCGTGTCTACAAGAGATGATGGTTGCTGGACTGTAGCAATGGTGGTAAAGGTCATGAAAAGTGGGGTTTTCTTGAATGTAGAGTCAACTGGACCTGCCTGTGGAATGAACATCAGGGAAAGTCAGGAACAAAGAGTGACTCCCAAATGGTGGCTGAACAACTGAGTGAGTAGTGGTACCATTTATTGCAACAGAGACAATCACAGGAATAAAGGGGTTTTGTCTTGTTTTTCGCAGAGTAGGGGATTGTTGGAAAAAGAGAATGAAGGGAGGAGAGGAATGAAGGTCTAAAAGCACAGTGCCTGCACTGGGGAGAGGCTGGGCAACTTCCTTTGCAGTATCACTCAGAGGCATGAGTCCTCAGGCTGTGTGCCCTGATCTAAGTTTAATGTGTGTGAATAATCCAGGAAGGTTAGATTGTTATGGAATAAAAACAAACAATTAATTAAA